CACAGCATCTGGGAGGGGCTGAGGGAGCAGGGTCTCCCCATCAACCCCAAGGTCACACAACCCAGCACATGCAGAGTGAAGGCAGATGTAGACAGAGGAGCTCTGAGACAACAGAAACAGCAAAACCTGGAGCATCCCCTCTCTCCCTCTCACACTCCACCGCTGGGGTGGTGCTCTGCCCCTGCTGCACACTCAGCCACAGGCAGGACAACCTTCTTGGAGAGGCAGGATTGGGCCCATGGTGCCTTCTTAGAGAAGCAGACTACTCATCCAGAAGCAGAGCTGTCACCTGGCAGTCATGGGTGCTGAGGGCTTTTCAGAGGTCACTCAAGCCTTGCTCTCTCTGGACATTGCCCTGGCAAGTTCTACCTTTTAGCTCAGCTCCCCGCAGCAGTGGAGGGAGGAAGAAGGACCAGTGAGGGATCTGGCACCCAGCTACCCCTCCAACACCAGCTCACAGCTCTACAGGAGTTTAAAAACCCTTCACTTCCACCCCATCAGTCTGTGTCTAACCTTGCTTCTCTCTCTCCTGAGTTGTGTGCTCTACCCCAGCACCTCTAGTGCCACTAAGGAGCCAAAATACCCTTTTCCTGGCCACCACAACCACCATCAATGCCACTGACACCTCCTTGCTCCTCTTCCCCATAAGCACTGTTTCCTACAATGGCCCAAAAAGGAGGGCACCACTCTCATGGGGTATGCTAATTTGGCCCTGAAAAGCCTCTAATTAACCCTTATTATATAATTCACAGTTTCATCTGGCAGCTCCTGGCACAAAAGGCTCAACAGACAGAGTCAAAAATACCAATTATCTCCTTGGCTGCCACTAGAGAAGCAGAGAGAAAGAGAAACAGGTGTCACAGGTAGGAAATACTGTGGCTGACAGTGACACAAAACAGAAAATGTACAGCAGAGAAACAGAGGCAACAGCTCTTTCCCCACTTATCATAAAGGGATGAGAAGCTGGAATCTCATGTGTCTTCTGGCCCAATGCTCAATTTGAGCAAAGCCCAAAATGAAGCCCCTTTTCCTCCAGACAAGCAGGTATCATGACATTAAGCAGCCACTTTCTTTATCTGAAGGCACTCCCACACAACAGGCACAGTCACTGCAGCCATTATAGATTTAACCTGCACCTCCTTGCCCTGCTGAATCCACCCCATGACACGGCTTGGCTTGGCTTGGCTTGGCTTGGCTTGGCTTGGCTTGGCTTGGCTTGGCCACCTTTGTCAGCTGCATCACTGTCTTGCAGCTCAGGACCTTGGTCCAACGATGCCATTTCTGGATGTTAGGAATCCCCAGTCATCAATTCCAGATGTTCAGGAAGGGAAAGAACAGAGTAGAAAGAAATCCCCAGGTGTGTGTCATGGTCTAGAAACAGCAGGCAGCTGAGGCAGGTTTGTGCCTATTTGCTGGCAAGTCTGTGGGCAAGTCTGACTCTTCCTCATGCTCCACACCTGGCTATGCTTTTCCCTCCTTCAGCCACTTCTCCTCAGAGGTCCCCAGATCCCCCCAGCCATTCTTCAGGTTTCATCTTATTATTCAGGTTCCATTTGTGCCTCGATACTCATGGCAGAGCCTCCACTGTCTTTGGAGCTGGAGCAAGACAAGTGGGACAAGGCACCGGGCTGGAAAATTGGGTGCAGAAGTTGCAATGAATTCTTAATGATGCCCTTTCTGGCAACAGAAGGATGGAGCAGAATACTTTTCTTTTTTGAAGTGTTTCTTATTTAAAAAGTGATGAAGCCTTTGATTCATTTTCCACAGTAGCATTGGCTGGGTACCTGCTTACTTCTGCCTTGCTTAGCAGGAGTCACCAATACAGCTCCTTGGACTTATTTTAGATGCCATTCTTTTCTCCTTTGGGAATGCATGTTAACTGCCAGTCCCTGAGGAGCCTGGCAATCCTACTGTAAGAGGTATCACATAACCATGTTGTGAGAGACAGACCCTGTTCCAAGGAGCCTGACAAGGGAAGGGAAGACACAGATCCCTGTTGAATATTTGGGAAGCCAAGGAATGGAGAAGTTCTGCACACTACCACAGTCCCACCAAAGCTGTGGCAGAATCTCAGGTTTGTCCCTATAGGGGACCAGCAGTAATACTGATCTACCCATCATCTTAACAGTGCAAGGGAACCTTCATATAAGTATTCAAGTTTACATTTCTTCTCTGTTATCCTTTCACTCCTAAATATTTCACTTTCAGGCTGGTTGGGTTTTCTTTCTCTCAGTTTATGTTTCCTTCAAGGGTCAGAAGGAAAGTGTAGAGGCTGTTCAGTGACATTCTCTGCTCCCCTGCTACAGGTGAGCATGGCCTGTGTACTTGGGAATCCAAATTTGGGAATCCCAAATTCCCTTGGGCTCTGCATAGCTCTCAGTCTGTCCTCCAACTCTGCGCAATACACATATTTGTGTTTTAATTGAAAAGGCATCCAAGACGTGGGGAAAGATGTTAGCCTGACCATTCCCTAGCACTGCTCTCATCCCCTTGAGAGACAGCCCTCAGGACAAGGTTCAGCAGCATGACCCTCACACCTTCAACCATATGTTCACTGCCCTTCAGAGCTCTTGGTTACTGGTTCCATTGGAGTCAACATTATCTGGAGAGGAGACATTCCTCACTCTGCTCCCTTAGGAGTCATGATGGCTCAGGATGCCCAGGCACTTAGTGCTGCAGAGAAGTATCTTCTAATCCAAGCTGGCTATTGTAAAAGTCACCAAGATTTGGATGGGAAATCAAGACCCAGAAAGGTTGTTAGCTCTGCAGTGGAAGGAGGATTGATCTGCCATTCCATCAGGGATGCTCTTCCAGTGCCTACGGTCAGTCCAGAAGAGGGCAATGTTGCTACTTGCCTGTCGGTACCGCAACACAGAGGCACACGCACACGTCCACATGGGCAAAGAGATGACAACTGTCCCACATGACTTCTTGCAAAAGGCTCTGGGGCTAGGTCAGGTCTATCTGTGCTGCAGCAAATTATGGCTTGGATAAGTCACTGAACTTCATAAGGGTGAAAAAGAACCACGTCAGCACAAACCAACCACAAGAAAACACAAAACAGTCTTCCTCAGTCAGCAGCCAACCAAATAATGAGGCTGTGCAAAGAACCCCTGTTCTTCCCCAAGTCACTCTGGCCACCCTCACACTGCACACTGCAGCCACTTCCCTGTCCACAGCCCTGGGCCCTTCTCTCACTCCATGATGCAGACATCATGGTCCACCAAGCAGGTTCTGGAGACAAAGGTCAGAGTGGTTTGCTGCAGTAACTGCAGTCTGTTGGACACAGTTACATCCAGAGGCACCTGAGAGAATAATGCAGACACACAGACGCAGCTCACACCTCATGCCTTCTCTGGACACACACCATCTCACACAACAGTGTGCAGAGCAGAGGACTCCTAAGCTCTCTGACTGGAATCAACCAAAGGCTGTTTAAATACAAGCACTGCTTAACTCTTTCACCACAAATCATTTTGGCCCAGAGGGCTGGCTACAGTTCCTCCACATCCCCTCAGCCCAACAGCCCTCACCTGGCTTCAGGACATTTATGATGTCTTCAGCCCTGACAGTCTTCCCTTCCCAAAGCTTCCTGCTCCCCCTAGACAGCCTTTGCAAATACATCTTGTCCTTTCTCATCCCTGTGGCAGAGCAACCAAATGAAATGCAAGGACTGTGGAGACAAAATCGAATTTAGCAACAAAATAAACAGCATGGGGGCTCTCTACTGATTAGATTATGCCTCTTTATAATTTATGCATTAATTCCTCCCAAGGTCTGAAGTTTCCCTGTCTCAGAAGGCCTGAATCCCTGCACTGCAGAGATGCAGATGCCAGGAACATCACTTTGACTGAAACATCCACCTTTCCACCAAGCAGAAGCTCTGATTAACCCCAGAAGAGCTCCTCTTTGCTATGCACCACTGTCCACCCTCCAGAGATACACAGCCCACCACCATTCCCTCCCAAACTCAATCATTCTTCCCAAGCCCAGTGGAGAACATGTCAGACTGTGAAGCATCTGCCTGTAGTAGCATCTGCTCCTAGGTTTGCCCTCATATCAATTCAAGCATTAATAAGAGTCATCAGCTACTGCAGCATATATATCCAGGAGCAATTGTGTCCATAGTCACAATTCCCTAGAACCATTAATTCCTGTCCTTTGCTACACAAGGAGCAGAGACTGTGAGCTAAGTACACTCAATAACGAAGCCTAGAAGCCATGGCTAGATTTGTCTAATCAGAGCTGGATGTGCAAGAGCAAAAAAAAGAAACCCTCTGAGCCAAGGAGCCATGCCATTCTCAGGAGAAACTAGAAACATTAAGAAACAGGAGGCAGAGAAGAGACAAGACATGCAAGGGAATGGCTGCTATGTCACCATACACAAATTGGCCTAATTATGTGTATAAATGCACCAATAGGCATGGATTTGCTGGCTGCATTCTTGACTTTAAATATTGATGCTTAGGAAGAGCTGAGATCAGGATATCTGCTGGTGGATTAGGCTACAGATTGCTCAGTCATTACCCACGGCTGGATCGCCTGCCTTGGATTGCCTTCCTCCAGAGAGCTCTGGAGCTCAGACAGAGGATTTCTTGTGTAGGTCATGGGCAAGGAAGCTCTGCCTTACACCCAGGCAGAGCTGCCTGCCTGCCCTGGGTGGGGCAGAACCTGGGTGCTGATTGGTGCAGGAAAGGGCTGGTATCATGACAGAACTGACAACTGGGTGAAAATAATTTGGTGTCCAAAACAGGCAATAGCCAAGGGAAGAGAAACTGTGTTTGGGAGAAGCAAGTGACCACTGGGTGCCTGGGACAATCCTCCCATGCCCTGACCCAACTCTCTCAGTTTCACCCATACCCTGTTTCCTCCCATCCCATCCCATCCCATCCCATCCCATCCCATCCCATCCCATCCCCTCCCCTCCCCTCCCCTCCCCTCCCATCCCACCTTCTCTACCAGACAAATCTGGAACAAACGGACTCAGAAGCAGCTTTTTATAGTTTTTGCTTGTTGATTTTTTTTTTTTTAGGTTTTTTCTTGGTTTTGTTTTTTTTAAATAAGAAATTTATTGCAAATATAGAAATTGATTTTCTCCATACAGGAATCTCCGAGTTGAGGAAAAACGATTTCGTGCCATTCAGTTTTAAAACAGGAAAAGAAGGAAAGAGAGAAAAAAAAAGAAAGAAAAGAACAAGAAAGAAATACAATTCTAAAAGAAGAAAAGAAAAGAAATTCAAAAAATAAGAAGAAAGTAAAGAATGTAACTCCAACTTAAATTTGTCCATACACAACCGGGGGGTCACAGGGTTGTTACGGAAGGAGGAACACCAAAGAGGCCACAAGGAGCCAGTCCCAGCAGCTGCCTCCCAGGCCCTTCCTTACATTCACGGGCTGACACCCCCTTCTGTGTGCCCGGCAGCTGCCCGCCCCTTCCCACCCTCTCACCCCAGACGCTGTGCTTGTGGATGGACCAGCCGTACCAGCCCTGGAGGGTCTGGCCTGACCCGGACAGGCTCTTCCTCTTCCCCCTGGAAAGGTGGAGAGCAGGAAGGTGGGACAGGCCAGCCAGGAGCAAGGCCTCACAGTGGCGGTGGTAGTTACGGGGAGGCAAAGGCCAAGCCGAACGCGCGGGGATGGGGCATCGGAGGGGGCCGTACAGGGGGAGGAGGGAACTCGACCCCTGCTGGGGCAGGGAGGAGAAGGAGCAGGAGAAGAGGGACAAGGAGATGCCAGGCAGAGGATGCCCTCTCTCCACTCAGGGACGGGGTGGGTCGGGGCAGCCCTGCAGAGAGCCGCCCTAATAGGATGGCAGGGACAGAGACACCTCCCCAGGGCGCGTGGGGGGACAGCCAAGGGCAGGCAGACCGAGAACGCCCCTCACAGTACAAGGCCAAAGCGGCTGAGGGACAGGGCTGGGAATGCGTGCGTGTGTAGGGGGGACACAACAGATGCTCCCTTCTGTCGCTTCTCCCGGGAAGGACCTAAGAAAACACCTGCTCAGACAGGGTGGGCAGGGCACGGCTGAGGTGGGGCAGGCTCCACCAGCCCTACAAGAAACCCGCATAGCCCGGTGTGGGGTGGCACAAAGTGTCCGTCCCTCACCAAGCCACCCTGAGGAGGTTCCCTCCTGCTCAGATGGTGGAACGGCAGCAGGCTGGCTCCAGCAAGAGGACACAGCTCCATGAGGCTCTTCTTGACTGCATCTCGTGTGGAAGGAGGTGGTGATGGTGGAAGGGATGTTCTCCAGGCTCCTGGAGGCTGTGTGTCCTTCCTGATGTAGCTGAGCTTTCCAGTCAGCAACAAGCATGGCAAGTGTGCTTTTGGGGCTTGGGTCCAGCTCCTACCCAGATGGCAGCTGCCCACCCTGTAGCACTGAGCTCTGCCCTACAGAGAGGGGTCACAGCTCATCATGAAGTCTGCTCAGATTGTTTTCTCCAGGCACTGCTGACTTATTCCCCACCTCCTCTCAGAGAGCCTTCACCCCTGCACTCAATCCTTTTCCTTGCTGTTCCCTTTGTCCCTTTATCATCCCATTCTTTCCACTGTAGCTATCTCTTCCCCAGGTCTTTCAGCCTGTCCCTCTTCTACACCTTCTCCATCTCCCTCTACCTGTTACCTCCTTGTCTCACCACTCCTTGTTCTCACCATACCTTATTCACCCCTACTGTGTCTGCCCCTCATCTCTTTCTCAGCTCCTTTTCCACCTTCCTCCTGCATCTTCCCCTCCTTCCTTCAAGCCTGCCAGGCAGAGCCTCCTCTAGCCAAGAAGGCTGATTAGCATTGCAAACACACAGAGGCCTCCTCAGCCCAACATAATTCTTCATTTGTCAGTCATGAATATTTCACACCTGCCTCAAGAGGGATTTATTCAGTATGGAAGAGTGGGGAGGGGGAGAAGGGAACATGGTACTGCAGCATAAACTGGGGCAGCACCAGCAGATATGGGAAAGATCTCTGCCCCACTGTGAGGAACAGAGTCTCACCTTCACTCCCCTGGGTGCAGGACCCCAGCCCAGGCTTCTCCTCAAGGCTGTTCTTGGGACTTGAGGGCAGGGCTGCGCCCAACCTCATTCCTCATCCTCCACAATGTCCAGTGAGGTGAACCAAACCCCTGTTTTCTCTGCCAAGAGTCACCAAACCAGAAATAAAGTATGAAAGGGTTTGGTCTTGGTTTGGCCCCAGAAGTCCACTTTGCCCTGGGAGAAGGCAGCATTGAGGGACTTGCCAAAGCCAAGCCTCAGAGGCCTTAGAAACATCAGGCAGTCTCTCCACATTTTCCCAACAAAGAGGTTTTTGAGGCCCCTCCCTCTGTCAGGCCAGCCACGGCGGAGAATGCATAGGATAGACCTAATCCAGAGGTCTATGCAACCAATAAGAGGAAGGTGGTGGGAGATCTTCCAAGTGATTGTAATCAGCTGCACATCAAGTTTTCACTCTATCAGAGGTTTCTCTTCAGCTAAAGCACTCCACGTTCCCTCAAGAATAACCTTGCTTTTTGGGAAAGAGCAACCAGGGCAAAGGGAGGGTGGTGACCATATCTCTTACAAGATCTATCTTGACAGGCCTCATTCCTGCTCCTCAATAACAAGGAGAAACGATGGCCACTAGAAAGAGCAGGCCTTTGGTATATAACACCTACTCCTTTACACACATGACTGTGAAAAGCAGCTGAGAGACCACGTTTGGAGCAAGGGAAAGGGGGACACTGGAAAGAAGAAGGAATGAGGTTTATGGGGTGATTGGTTTGGGTTCTCCTTGGGGTATGTTCCATCTCAAACTGGTAGGAGTCTCTCATAAAATCACATCAGAGATCAATGAAAGGAGCAGAGAAAACAGGGGCAAGGACAGGAGAGACTTGGAGGGAGGAGGTTAAATTCCAACAAACTGGCACATACACAACAGGTGTTTGCTCAGAAAAATACAGTAAAATTGTCATGCAAATAGAACGTTAAATCTGCTTTCCTCCAACAGGGCTGGCATCACTTTGTGAGCCCTCATCCTGAGGGAGGGAGCAGGACAAAGAAGTAGGGAGGAGGAAGGAAGGTGAGACACTTTGTTCCCCTTCCTTGCCCTCTTCCTCCCACAGAACAGTCCATCTTGTGCAAACTTCATCCAATGGTTTGAAATGGGGGCTACAGCTGGGAGAGAAATGGCTTTTCCCTCCTATCCAGCCTTACCCACATCAGAGAAAAAAGAAGGGCCTGATGATAGCTGTATCCCTGACCTTTCTTTTCTGCCTCATTGAGGTGCTGAGGGGAAAAAGCAGAAACCTTTATAAGTTAATGCTCCCCCTAAAGTATTGACTGAGCAGAACTGTTCACAAGACCACACAGCAGAGAAGCACAGGGAGGGAAGAGTTGGAGAGAGGAACCAGACTCCATACCCCCTAGCCTGTCATCCCCCTTTTTCTGATCAGTTCTGTGCCCCAGCCATTAGTCTTTTCTGCTTGGATGGTTGCCGTGCTGGAAGACCACTGAGCTTGCCCTGTGTGGTAGTTGGGGATCTCTCTGTTGTGCCTAAGCATCTCTCACAGCATTTACCTGTCTTGGTTTGCTGCACGGCCCCAACATGAAGGGACAGCTGCCAGCAGTGATGTGACTTCGATGTGTGACTTCCCTTCATCCTCCTGCATCCAGGTGCACACACACATGTGCACACACACCCCTTCTTCTGGGTTGGATTGGCTCTTACCGTGTGGAGTCAGTCCCACAAACACCTCTGGACTCAAGGCAAAATAATGCTTTGACTATGGGAAAGCAGGCTGACAGTGAAAAGTCTGAGCAAATGGGGTCAGGACCTGGCTTAGGATTGTTACCATCAGCATCCCTACAAGGAAGAAACTCCACAGATCTTCATAGGTTTACACTTTGGGGATACCTGCTCTGGTTTTCCTGCATCAGACTCTGCCTACTGCTCCTACCTCACTTACAGACAGTGAAATTGTCATGTGTGGCATAGAAGCCAGCTCTCACAGCTGGCATTGCTACTACCTGGCAGATAACAGGCAAGTTCTCTGCATGCAGAATGTAAATCCCTCCTAGAGAAGCTCCTACACCCTCATCCTTCTCCCAGGGCCCCCAAAACACTGGGTCTTCTGAGGAGCACCTCAAAGAGGAAATAACTACTCAGGGAGGGCCAACAAAACATAGGCCCTCATCCTCATCCTGATAGAGGTGAACTATGGTCAAGTGTTGGGTAGATCATGGAAAGGAGGCTCACTGTGCTGCATAAAGATAAGTTCAGCAGGCAGCCCTCTGCCTGACAGAAAAATACTGGGGGAGATGGTGCCAAGATTGTGCTTTATTGCATTGCTCAAAAATGGGAATAGGTGGAGAGGGCAGTAGGCTTATTGTCAACTGTGACAGATCTTCTATGCAAGAGGCAGAGGCTGGGATCTAGCAAGTGCAACTGGGATTTTGTCAAGACATGACAGGATCCCTAGGAAAAGTTTGTCACACCTGTGAGGATTAGGAGATGATGTGTTGTTCTCATTCTCACGAGGGCGTCTAAGTAGTCAAAGGAACATTGCCATCCAGATGCTGGAGTCCTCCTCTATCCTGGCACACACAGTGTGGCTGCACACCTAAGGGAGCTTCTTCCAGGCCATACTTCTTGGGCTACACCCAGGCCCCATTCTCACATCCCATTTGTTCCCTGTGCTCCTGTGTTCACCCTAGGCTGCCCCCTATCCATGCCAGAACGTCCATAGCCTATACAAGAGAAAGACTCTTTGTGAGGCCAACCCAATAAGATGAGCAGCTGAAATCCTGTTCTTCACATTCACCTGGAAGTGAGGAGGTTGGATGATACTTTTCTCATGGACACCCACCCCACAGCCCATGGTGTAAATCAGTTGGGAAGAGCTGCACAGGCTTCAAGGAGAACTTGCTCTGCTGAAGTCCTCCCCAAGTCCCTTCCTCATAGTAAAGGGGACATGAACAGAGAGTTTTAAACTGACTAGACAAGGGCAGACTGAGCATAGGCAAGTGGGGTGAAGAGGACCTCTGACCTGTAACACTCACGGAGAAATGGGAACCCCATACACCTCTGATAGACCAGACCTTCCTGCCTTTTCCTCCAGCACTCCTTGAGGACCTGGCTTGCCATGCCAAAGAGAATATTCACAACCTGTTTCTCCCCACCAACTGGCAGAAAACTGGCTCTGAGAAGGCCTGGAGAATGCCTGTCCCTCCATACTGCTGGTGTTCATCAGCAGCAATGTGGCAGGAGAAGGGAAGGAGGAAGAGCAGCAAGGGCACAGAGCCTCTTATATGGCAGGTCCTACCCACCTTGGTCCTTCACATCTCTTCTCCTTCCTCTGAGGAGGACGGAGGTTTGTGAAGTATCTGGACAAGAAGTTCAAGTCCAGGGACCCTTAACAGAGAGGATAGGGAAGGGCAAAGGAAAAGAAGGGAGAGAACTTCTTCCAGCAATTCCCATCTTTTTTAGAAGGGGACAGGAGAAAGAGAAAAGCCTCCACTGCTAAAGAAAATGAGGGGAAAAGTTAGTGATGGAAGATTTGGCATAGCAGGTGTACAAGGTGGACAAGGAATCTTTCTAAACCAAAGTCCTTCCTTCCCACCCAAAAGAAAAATCAGCCTTCAACAGGAACAGAAACATGAATAGTTCACAGCTGAGTTTCATGCCCAGTGAGTGTCCATCTTTGCCCTTCTCCTACCACCACTGCCACCCACTCCCAGGCCATTCCCACCCACCCACATTCCAACGTTGTTACCACAGTGTCAGTGCAGGGCGCTCCTCCCAGCCATCTGTGGGCAGAACAATGGTCCCCATAACACAGTAGAGACAATTTGGCGTGTGTGTGTGTGTGTGTGTGTGTGTGTGTGTCAGTGTGTGTGTCTGTGTAAGAGTTGTTGTAAACTTTAAGAAAAGGTTTTGTCAGTTTTGTATTTGTCAGGAGTATTTTGTTGTTGGTTTATTTTTCACAGTCAAGTGGCTTTTTTTTCTGGTTGTTGGAGGGGGCGGGGGGGGGGTCTTGGTTTGTATTGTTTCCTTGTGAGGAAGAGTCACAGCTTCTGCTGAGCAGAGACTCCTTTCCAGTAATCCAGGATGTCATGCAGATCCTCGTCCTTGGCAAATTGAACTTTCTTCCGCAGGGCATGCCCAGCTGCCATGTAAACCTCCTCCCTGTGATGCTTCTTGTAAGGCCGGAATCGCTCCCAGATCTTGTGGGTGCTCTCTGAGGAGTACTCGGGGCTGGAGGAGTAGCCCGAGAAGTAGTGTCTGGGGGAGAGCTGGGAGTACGTGGAGTCTCGCTTGGACCGGGACAGTGGCTTGAGGAATGACACCCGCTGGCTCAAGGTGTCAGCGCTCTCCTCATAGTACAGGGCCGGGAAGGAGTGACGGTGCTCGCTGCAATGGTAAGAAGGCTTGACCTCCAAGTGGTGGATGGCGCTCGGAGACACCAAGGGAAGACGATCCAAAGGGCTGTTTAGTGGGCTGCCCTTCTCAATGTATTTGGAGTCAGACTTGCTGAGTGGTGGGTGGTCAGGCACATCCAAGCTGAAGACCTTGGCGCTCTTGATGGAGCCACTAGAGGAGATACTGCAGGTCTTCCTGGCCACAGCAGCATCAGCACTGAGCTGGCGCTGCAAAGGGTGGTGGGAGCTCTCTTTGTAGGGTGGGGAAAGAAAGCTGGGCCGCTCTAGCCCAGTCGAGGAGCCAGCTGGGATGGATTGGCACTCAAAGGCCATATCTGAGTCAACAGCAGTCCCACCACCCAGGAAAGATGCTGTGTCCAGCTTGAGGGCATCAATACAGTTGTTGATGATCTGGTTGACCTTGTCTACCTCCTTGGCTATAGTAGAGATCTCAGCAGCTGAGCCTTGCCCGTTGTCAAGCTCCCTCAGGTCCTCATCTCGCTGGGTTCTCTCCAGCCCATCCCCACCACCTGTCCGCACCTCAATGTAGTTACCTTTAGTGGTGACTTTGGGAGTCTCCATCCCAGCATCCATTGACTTCGATGGGGGCAACTTCTCCCCAATCATGGAAGGGATGGAGGACATCCGTGAGACAGGAATGACAGGTGGCTCACCCAGCTTCTGGGAAGGATGGACCATGGTACTGGTATCAATATCTGATCCATAGCGCATTTCTAGAATGGTCTTTTTGACATTGAGCGACTTCTGTTTCTCCTCCTGCATCCTCCGCTTCCGCAGGCAGTAGTACACCACCCCCAGGACAATGACCATCCCAAAGAGGCAACCGAGGGTGGTCATAATATAGTGTGTAGTGGTGGAAGTACTGGAAATAGGATCCTCCCTGCCTTTGCTCCGGGTTGCAAAAGTCAGGCAAGTATGGTTGTAACGCCTGTTGTTGCGGATAGAGGCCACACAGAATGTATAATCAGTGTGGGCCTTCAGCTTGTTGACAGTGACATATTCCTTCTTGCTCTTCAGTGTTGCTATGTCAGAAACGTAGCTGTTGTTGTATTGGACCAGCACATACATCTTACTGTAGGGCATAGGGATGGTGACCATCAGGATGGCTGAAGTGATTGTGACGTCATGTAGTTTGATGCTGGGACTGAAGGAGGAGTCAGTGGTGGAAGAGGCTGGAGGCTTGACTGAGAGGAAATCCCCAGGGCTGATGGCTGACCCCTCATCCAGATCTCGCTGGGAGTCAGGGGTGTAAGGAGTTGGGTTGACCCTGGAGAGAGAGGGGATGGTGCCCCCTCTGCACATGGACTGGAAGATGGTGATGGCATTGCGGTTGTGGTGAGGCCGCGGCACCAGGAGCGGATACCCAGCAAACTCCCGTGGAGTCTCACACTGGAGGCGGTCATAGTTCTTGGTGACATTGTTGAAGAGAGCCAGCCAGTTAAGGAAGCCGTAGAGGCTACAGTCACAGTTGAAGGGGTTGCCAGCCAGCTCGCACACCATCAGGTTGCTCAAGCTGGTGAAAGTGTTGCCCTCCAGACGGCTGAGGCGGTTGGATGACAGATCAATGCTAATCAAGCTGGGGCACTCAGAGAAGGCAGTAGGGGTGACCAGCTCAATTAGGTTATGCTGCACAAAGAGGAACTGGAGGCGGGCCATGCCCCGCAACATGCCCTCTGTCAGGTTGGTGAGTTTGTTGTAGCCCAGCTGTAGGACCTGGAGGTTTGACTGACCCATGAAAGCCCCATCTTCAATGTAGGAGATCTCATTCTTGGTCAGGTTCAAATCAGTCAGGTTGCCGAAGCGGTTGAGGGAGGAGTACAGCACCACCTTGAGCTTGTTCTCGTTCAGACGCAAGTCGTGCACCGTGCTGTTGATGTGCTGGGGGATGGTCTCATACGGGGGCTGGTTCTGGCTGCAGATGGCCAGCCACACATACCCTTTGTCCCCCTCTATCAGCCAGCAGTCACCTCGCACGGTGCCAGGGGAAAACAAGCAGAGCAGGGCAGCTGCCCACAACCCCAGGCACAGCATGGTCTGCAGTGGTGCCCTCATCAGGATGGGGGAAAAGAAATCCCCAACAAAAACCAACGCCAAATCTCAGAACAACGGCAAAAAGAAACTAGGGGGCAAGAACGGGGGTTTAACAATGGAAGGGAATGAGCACCCCAGTCCTATGAGATGTCATCACCATTATTTCTTCTTGCCCTCTGGGTCAATCCAGGAGCACAGAGGAAGGAGAACACATGCAATATTCTTCCAGAACACCCAAAAGCTATGACCATGGATGTTTGGTCCGGAAGGGAACTACCTTGTGCTTCTTTTCTAAACAAAAATTCAGGCCAAGGATAATGAATCTTCTTTGATGCTCATGAGCAACTCACACACTTTTTCCCCTTTTCTCCCCTCCCACCCACCCCCCACCCACACCAAACCCACCCCAAAATAAACCCAAGTCTTCCCCCTCTAGTCTTCCCCCGCCCCTCCACAGTGTGATTTGGAAGAACAAGGCAGGGCTGCCTCCCGTGTCGCTCACGCTCCCTTGGTTTCTACTCCTTCTCTTCCTTCTTTCCTGGGTTCCCTCTGAGAAGCTTCAGAGCTTCGGATCAAACATGTCGAAAACAAAAATACAGAGAAGGAAAGAGCAAGTGTGCATGAGAGAGATCCATCTGTCACTGGAATCTGGAAAAGAAAACACAAAAGACAAGAAGAGGCATCATTTGGAAAGGTCTTTGAGATAAGTGTATAGACAGCAATGTTTCATGAGAAGAGGGAGATGGGGAAGAGACACCTTAAGGGGGGTGCAAGCAAGAGAGGTGTGGTACTGCCTGCCGTGCTGATAAGCCTTTGAGGAGGGAACCCTCACAATGTATAATGTCATATCAGGGATATGCAGAAGGGTATCTGGGCTCCCTTAAGTAGTGTGATCACAGCCAGGGACCCGGGGGAAGGCAGTGGCGTGGGAGTAGAGGGGAAGGGAAAGGAGAGTGGGAAACATAAAGCTGTTATTGCGGGGGCTCAAAACCCCTAGTGTAAACAAAGGCAAGCCCCAAGCACAGCCAAAGCCATGAAATTTCAGCTGCCTGGAAATGATGTACACAGAATGCATGAAGCAGGGAAAATGCAGACAAGCTTCTCCCCCACCCCCTCCAAAAAAGCCAAACACTTTTTTTCTTTCCTTCCTTCCTTGATGCAAGAGGGATAAATAATTCAAACCACGTGTAACCACTTCTGCTCTAAAAATTGTTCCTGACTCTTGGTGCATGGACAAGGCTGTTGAGGTGAACCAGTCTGGCTTGAGCACAGTGGGTGGGGGTGGGGAGCAGGCAGTGTGTCAAATACCAGCCTCCAGTCTCTCACCCAACAATGCCAGAACTCCTAATCTGAAGCACATCACCCATCTACCCCCCACCAAAGAGTGGTGCACAGTTTACACCTTCGTACTTTACTACCTCTCCTTGGGGGCTATGAACACTGCCCCTTTGTAAGAAAACACACACACCTTGCAGACAAAGTGACACTTGCCTGTTAAACCACAACAAATGTATTTCTGGGCTCTGGGCAAGCTCCTGGTTCTGACTGCAAAACACAGCCTGGAGCACCTTTCTCTCCAGCTACAGCTTCAACCCTTCTCCCACTGTGCTGAGACAGGAGCCTGGCAGGGGTGTCCTCAGGCAGCACAGAGGAAATAATTTCATACAGTAGATAAAACACATGGGCACTCTGCTATTTTTTTTTTAATTTTAATTTTGAGCAGAAAGGAAACACTAAAAAAACAGAGAAAAGGATCCTTGGTTAATGAAAACTAAAGATCCCCTCTTGCCCCTTTTATTTTGGGGAGAGGCTGCTCATTAAAGATATCACTGAAGCTTTTGCTGCAAAAGCTGAACCAATTTCTAGCACAGAGACACAAAGGGCACAAATAAAATGAAGGAAGATAAATGAAGGAGGAGTGAACCCTTGAGGAACAAGGCTTACGTCTGTGGAGAAATCTGAGCTGATTTGGGTCTGTGGAATTACCAGGCCAGCTGGATTAAAGGATCAGAGATAGTGTCACAGAGAAACACTTAAATATTCAATAATCCAAAAAGTAAAGCCAAGACCGAGAAGGGAAGGGGGAGAAGAGCTACACCAATGGAAAAGACAGAGAAAAACCCTCAATTCCCCACAGCTCATCGTCTGAGGCCACCAAACTCATGTCACTTATGATTGTCACGTGATAGCCTTCAGCTGCTGCCTCAGCTTTGCCTCAGCCAGCAATGAAGCAGAAGGCAGAGGTTTTTACAGTCTGTTGATTTGTTTCTCAGTCTTGTAATCCAATGAGAAATAATTTCCTGATGCTGTTCCCCCAGATGCCTGCTAGGAGGCACATCTGGCTCTCCACAGGCTGGGACCCACAGACCTCTGATATTCCTCAGCATCAGTCCCTGCCTTGTTCCTCCATTTCCAGAGGTGACTCCATGCAGAGACACAGCCAATTCCCCACACCATCTCTGTCCCTTTACCTTCATCTCTACCGTTCCTTCATTTTGCCTGATTTTTTCCACTGAACAAAGCAGTGGCAGATACTATCATGCTTTTTGCACTTTGGTGCCCAAAGTATGTCCACCCCAGGCAGAGGCCAGGGGCACCCCCTAAGCAGGGAGTGGAAAGATTTAGAGATTACAGATTTTAGCCACCATCCTTCTCTGAGAATTATGTTCTGGCCTGCCTGTCTCACCTCACCAATTACTCTGCACAATATCCAGCTCCATACAGGAACATCCCAGCCCACTTGCTTTGACCCCTTCTGCTAGGGCAGATGTGTGCTGAAGTCACCATTGCCTGCTGTAGCTTGTTCATGGTGCACATGCACAGAGAGAAGCTCATGGCCAGGACCACATTCCTCTGCAGCAAACCCAGCAATCCCTGAGAGCCACCCCATCCCACCCAAGGAGCTGCACTCAGGCAGGACAGAGGGTTTGGAAGGGCAGATGTCCTAGTAGCCTGGAAAGGAAAGAGATGGGTTAGGGATAGATAGGAAAAAAGGTGGTGTTTATCGTTGCTGTTTGCCAAAACCAAGGGGACCATGCAGAAATTCCTGCTTCCTGCCTACCTCCCACCTGGGCTGTGTAGCCTTGCCTCAGCCACAGGCCACAGGAAGGATCAAGCCACTCCTCAAGCCAAACTCATTGGTCCCCTTGGGTCCCCAAGGTAACCGTGTGTACGAGAAATACACAGACCATGACATTCTTCTCCCAATGGTTCCTGTCACCCCACCATCACGCTGGTTTTGAGGGCACTGAATCCAGCCCAATCCATGGCCTACTGCACCCCTGCCCATGGCCCAGCACCCCATTTCAGCTCAGCCCAACACCATCAAACCCTGCTACAGCATTGCTGTAGGAGTGCTGGTCTCCAACTCTACCACAGCCATGTCCTGCCCTCTAGGGAGCAGCTGCTCCCTGACCCAGGCAATCCATAGTCAAAGGGAGACCAGGAATGAGGGGCAGCACTAGTGCACTCCTCTAACTGTCCACAGCCAAAAGAACATAAATCACACAGCACTGGAGTCCAGCAGCACAAGGAAGCAACACTCTGTCCTTTTTGCTGGCCTAAAAGGTGCTGACAATGGAGTTGGCTGTTTCCCTCTCTTGCTTCTCAGGCAACAGAGCAAGAAGGCACAGGACAGGGAAAGCAAGAATGAACAAATCCTGCACAGCAGAGAGCCAAGGAAGGGGGATGCAAGAGTTGTGGAGAACTTATGGGCAAGAGAAAGAGTTAGAACATGGGATATGTTTTATAAGGAAGGTACAAGATAACCACCTCCATGTGCTGGGCTTATTTAGTTGTAAGGTTCCAACACTCTTCAGTGTCACCCAAGATTTACAGCAAGCCCTTGGCTCCTGGCCATCTTCGTGTACATGTGAACATGAAGGAACAGGAGTGACATGGCACCCATGAAAGCTGTGCTGTCCTTGGCTGGCGCAAAGCCAGCCTATCAGCTCCCAAGTGATTTCCCTCTGCTTTACTCTCTATTAATGGATGTCCCAATGTTATTGGTGTTTATCTGTAGCATGTTGAAGAAGAGCAGAAGGCCACAGGGACGGTTCCATTGTTCAAAGGAAAGAAAAGAGAAGGGAAAGTGAAACAGAGGGCGGAGAGTCCCAAATCCGAGTCAGGAGGTAGGTGCCAATGGCCACAAACATCCCTTTGACTTGGAGCTCAAGGTAGCACAGGGGAAGACACAGGATTGAAGTCACTAGTGAGATGGCAGCATAAAATACAGCCAGTGAAAGTATGGACAGGCAGGATAGGAGGCAGAGAGGCAAACTGGAGCCTGAGGGAGTGGAAGGACCAAAACTGAGAGAGAATACAAGGCAACCAGAAAAGTCACATACAGCTGCAATTTGGGCCTAAAATTCTGACCTTGTCAACCTTGTCCTCTTGGGGCCCCATGCACTGGAAAAACCAGCACTTAATTCTACCATTGCTTAAACGGTGCTAAGAGCCTCCCATTTGAAATGCATGCATTAAAAACCTGCCAAACACTCTTGACTCCTCTTGGGACACCCCGAAACCAGGCCAAAGCTCCTGCTGCTTTCTTAAGCTTCATGCTGCAGCTGAGCATCATCCCTCTTCCCAGCTCAGTGTGCTGCCTGCTCCTGGCAAGCCTCAGGGCACAAACACCATCTCCAAGGGACTCTGCCTCCTCTTCTTGGCTTTAAGATCCTTCCAGGATTTCTCTAACTACTTTCTTAAAGAGGAGCCTTTCCCAGGGGTGCTTGGCACTCAAAATTCATGCCTTACTTGAAGGGACTCTCCCTGTCTGCTGGGTAGTTTCTGTAATTCACAGTGTTCTAAGCATCACTGCAGCCACCCTAAATCACCACCCAGAGATTGTCCTTGCTTTTGCATCTGGCCCTAGTGGAAGCACAGTGCCATGGGAGAAGCTTGAAGCACAGCTGTGGCACTCACAGGATAGCAGTCCCTTCCCTCTCAGCCCTGCTTCTAGGGAATTATTGCAGGAGTTACCTTCAAGTCTTCCAGCAAAGAACCTGTGACTGTGCCCATAGGTGCTCCAAAAGCTCTGACAAGTCTGGGACCAAGAGAAGAGGGAGCAGGAAGCCTGATGACCGGTGGTTTTGTGGCATGGAAGACATTTGAGCATGCGAGAGAGAGAGAGAGAGAGAGAATGCCTTCTACTCTTCTACTGTAGATTCTCTGATGTTCACCAAGGGTTGAGCTCCACAAGACTCTTTCCTTTAATGGGTCTCAATGAAGGTTTCTTTCTCACATTCTCTCTTCTCTAATTTATCCCCTATCTTCATAGAACACCTTGCAGGAATTTTTTAAATTAGAACACTTTAAGGAAGTTATAAAAACTGAGTTATCTCTCAGTTCCATTCC